TCCATTTTGTTGTCCCCTGTTGGCTTCCACAGGTGCTGACGTCTTCACGAAAAGTAAGTCAAAAGGAACAGCTACAAATTACTGTGAATTAGCACTCACTGTTAATAAAAGGATTTTGCTTCTTACTGCAGCAAACTCGGGACTTCAGTAAGCCATACAAAAAAATGAAGTTGAAAGGGTATTTGAAGATTCCAGCAAGCACATAGTTTTGGGGGAAACTTGATGAGACAATAGGGATCGAAAAGAACATTGTATCACTTATCAGGAGAATTTGAAACGAGTAAACTCTGCACCATACTAGTGGCAGCAAACAATGAATTGAAAATGCCCACTCAGAAACGAAAACTTGGATACTGTTGAGAAAAAACTACTAGTCACTATGACTGAAGAAGCAAATAATAATAGCAATATTATAATTTAGGACACCAAAACGAAATAATTACAAGAGAGGCAAAGAAATATAATAAAAGGACGAGAACAATCGAAGACACATGACGATTGACACAATGACTTGACAAATTGTCTCTCCATTCATGAATCTCTTTGATATTGTCTCGCTCAAAACCCAAATCTTTTTTATCATTAAAAACAGTGGAAAGGGGTGACTCTCTGGGCATTACTATAGGAGCTCCACACCCATTACAGAATGAGCCTACTACTCGTTTTGAGCAAGCTTGACACCGTCGCCCTAGCACGATGCTAGTGGGAGTAGACTCAGGATTATCCTACGCCATGGCACTGCCCAACCTACATCAGACAAACCAAGGCTTCTTTGAGGCCAAGGAGCAACCAGGGGGATTCGAACCAATGACCGGGGGGGCCCAAACAAGGAAAAAGTTATCAGTTTGCTATTTCCAGCGCGAAATCATCATTTAATTCCTGTAAATGTCCTCAAGCCGCCATATACTGGAATTGCTGATTGACACCACTCGAACCAATAAATAAGACAGGAAACATCTACACAATTGCAATGGGATGGATCCACGTGAAAAGGCCAGGAAATTTTTGCTGACACATAATTGAAAAACCTCTAAAGCATTGAGCACCTCCTACGTGACCAATCACAAGCACAGATCCAACCCCAAAGCCTTCAATAAGCTATCGCGAAGCACTGACTTCAATTACCAACATATTCTGACTAATATTATGCAAAAAGAGTCAAAATAATCACTTTTCCAACTAGAAAATAGCAAACCCAACAGATAAAATCAGCTTAATACAGAGATACTTCGATGTGAACCGTGTGTTCAAGCACGAAGTGACCCCTGATCCAGAGTTTACCAAAGATCTAAGATTGGACGCAACTGAGAAACGGAAGATCCAGAGGGAGAAAGAGAGAGAGAGAGAGAGTACCTGAAGAATCGGGTTTGGTCTAGATTCAATTCAGCCACTGATAGTGATTGCGACGCTTTGAGAAACTTCAAAGAGCACTTGTTAACTCTGAAAACAGATATGGCACTAGAAAAAATTTGTATATTCAATTCCTTAATTATTTCGGCTAAAAAAAAATCCTTAATAATGACTTCTACTTTTTTTGTTTTTCAATTTTTTTTGAATATTACTAGCCGTGAAATGATTTTTATTTAATGTGAGCTTCCCGATGTCTTTTAAAATATTGCCACAAAGATGCACTATTACGTTTATCCAAGAAAGAGACATTCCAAACTTACATTAAACCACCTTTATTGAGAAATTTGAATCAAAGAAATTGATAAAAACACATAATGAAAAGTTGAAATTCTACACATATATAGAAAGAGAAAATCGTTTTGAGATTCGAAATTTTTTTGGAAGGTATTTATAATAAAGAAATTATAGAATTTGAAATTCATACATGTGGGTGATAACATAATACGATAAATTTATGCATTTGTCCATGAATATAATATTTATGAAATAAGTGAAATGAGGATATTTGAGAAAAAAAATTAATCGATGTCATGTAAAAATAGGAAGTACTTTTTGTTTTCTATGACAGTATAGATTATATAGATTAAATATATTACATAGTCCGGTGAAAAGTAAATAAGGAATTTAACCTAAAAAGAGTGAATTCAAACCCACTTACATCATTACATGAAAAAGTTCAATAATTCGTTAACTATTATGTAAGGTTCGACAAAAAAAAAACTATTATGTGATAAGGACACTCATCACCAAAGAATTTTTATAAATTAATTATAGATCACTCTCTATATGTCCAACAATATAAGTACACTTACTTCGCTTATAAGGTGTGGTATGGATTCTTTTTTTATTTTTATCTATAAATCATAAAATCGCTTAACTTGTTTTTAATTTATTAGAGGTTTCTCAATTAAAAACGACGTTTGCTTATGCCAAATAGTAAGGTTTGTTTAACATCATCGTCATTAATACATAACGGTTTTCGTGTCTAAGTGCTAATTATATATATTTTTTTGTAATGTATTGGTTAATGATTCAGCCATAAGCTATATAGCCAGAATAAATATCACCTTACAACTAACCAAAGTAGCACAATTTGAAACGATAGGGGTTCTTTTTTATTTAGTGTAGGTAATTTTAGGGGATGCAAGAACATTGGGGTGAAGAAGTTTACCTCTTCGAAATAAACCAACTAAAAGTTTAAAACATTACCTCGCTAAAGAAGTAGCTTTTGTACATTGAAGTTTTCTCATAATTTCAATTCCAGTAATACAATTAGCTAATAGCCGCTTAACACTACAAATATTGTCGAAGACTTCCCTTCTTGAAAGCTGATCTGATGTTTTTTGCTGTCGGCCATCCCTACTTTATTGGGAGGGAGTACACAATTGGTACACAATTTACATCTACTCTTTCTTGGAAAAGCTTAAACAAATTCTATGATACAAACATCTTTAAGATAACCAGACACTTGATCAAAAAACATGGGGAGAATAACCTGCAAGAGCTTTACCATCGATCGTTGCATGTGCAATGCCCACTTGAGAAGTAGTGAAATCCTGAAGCATCCCTCAAGAGTATTTGTCTATTTGTGATGGCTGAAGGTATCTCAAAAATCGATGGCAGTCCTCACAAAGGCTGATGTTCTTTACAATTTTGATGGGTTTTCCTGGTCTATTAATCAAAAGCCTGAATGCTGCAGCAAGTTTTGCACCTTGATAGAACAAGAATCCTCTTTCTTTCGTTCTCCAACTTCATGAAGAACAAAACTTGTGTCAGGCACATACCCAGCTCTTCGGCATTCTGAAATTAGGATTTCCAACCTGCTGTAGATGTCCTTGGCCTGGGAATGGGACTTATCTCTCGTATAAAATGATATAGTCTTGTTCAGATAGATGACCCAAATCCGTGAAGGCTGTTTCTGACACCCTTTCACTCTCATTTATTTCCTCACTGTCTCGGAGCAATGCCATCTTCCAGATGCAGAGTACAGATTTGCGACAAGCACATAGGTGGAAGGATCTCGCGGTTCCATCAAAAGTAAATGCTTTGTAACTCTTTTACCGAGAATTGCATTGGAATGGATTCTACATCCATCAAGCAAAGCTCGCTAGACTGAAGCCTCTGGTTCAAAAGGCATGTTGCTCATTGTTTACTCTGCAAACTCAAAAAATCCCCAGATCCTAAGACACCAACAAATGATGCAAATGCTCCTGTGAAGGTTCTATATCAAATTCTGTTCGCATGGACGAAAGGAATCTACAACATTCATCAACTAGACACTTTTTAGTATATTTATAAGCTGATATAACTAAAAGGATGCTGATCTTGTCAGGCTTAATCCCTGCATCGTGCAAGTTTGACCAGACAGCGAGGGCATCATCTCCCCGCCTATGTATAATGAACCCCGCAATCAAGCCATTCCATGAAACTACATCATGTGCAGGCATATTATTAAAGACTTTTTAGCCGCATCCATATTCCAACACTTTGAGTACATACTGATCAATGCATTTGCTACCTCTAAATCTGAAAATAATCCAGATTAAAGAACAAGACAGCGAATCTGCTCACCCATCTTATCAGACCCTAAAGTTCCACCAACACCAAGTATTGAAGTTGATGCAACTTCATCAAGAATTATGCTCCCTTCTACTTTACAACGGCAAAATAGCAATATTGCCTCATCCAGCAGCCCATTCTGTTGATACCCACATATCATAGAAGTACAAATGATAGAGCTATCCCACTCAAAGGCCACCGTTTGAACATCTTTCCAGAATCCACCGTCCTCCCACAATGAGTGCACATATCAAGCAAAGCTGCTTCCACACAAGCATTTGCCAGGAGACCAAACTCGATAATAAACCCTTGCAACTGCTCACAAAGTTTCCCTGTCCCGAGCAACCCACACGCCTTAGCAACAGTAGTTAAGGTGTGGTCAGTCAACTCCAAGCCCTCCCCCACCATACTAATAAATAAATCTAGCACTTCAAAAGCTTTGCCATTTACACAAAACCCTGACAAAAGGGCGTTGCGAGAAACACAATTCTTCTCTGGCATTATATGAAACAACTCCATAGCCGTATGAATTAACCCAAACTCCGCATAGGCTCTAATCATCTCAGTCCAAGTGGTAACCCCTCGTGTCCATATTCTCAAACAAGGCCTCCACATCATCCACGGTTCCACAATTTATGTAAAATCCAATAAGTGCATTGTTCACACTCAAGTCAGTCTCCAAACCAATTATGACGGCATGAGCATGAATTTGTTTTCCTCTAATTAAACTGCTAGTATCAGTAAAGGCAGTCAGCATTGCAGAAAGAGTCATATGATCGGGCTCTAAAACCATCGATTTGGTCCATTTGCCGAAAAGATTCGAACGCTCTTTCGTGCAGTTGGGCCTTCACCCATCCCGAAAACCACAGTATTCCGGGAAGCAATGTCTCTCTTAGGCATATCGTCGAACAATTCAAGAGCAGAATCCAGACACTCGCATATATTGTACATACCCATGAGTGCATTCGCAACGAGACGCTTTCTAGATAACCCGTTTTAGCCACCAAAAGAATGGACTGGCAAACCTAGCTCCAATTCAGTCAGCCGTATACAAGCGGTCAGAATCGCAACGAAGCCATACTTCATTTGGCTGATTACCCGAACTCATCAATCTGAAGAAAGCCTCCACCGCTGCTTCGAGTCGTGGGTCCGCCTTACCGAGACCAGAGACAACGGCCGTATGAGGAAACAAATTGGGATGCGACAGCCCATCGAAGACGCTGTCGGCCATGGATGCAGGAAGAGTGAAGAGAGAGAGAGAGAGATCGGGGAAGTGGAGTGAAGACGATTTTGCCAAGTTTGACTTATTCATCTATCTCTTCTTCTCCTTCCTCCTCAACGAGAGAGATGTGCCGTTGGACTCGCTCTCTCAAACTCACTCCCATCTTTCTCTCCACGTGTATGCAGGCGCTCCATTTTCACAATCTCTCCAGATGCATGCAGGCGTTCCATTTTCGTAATCCATCCGGAGGACAGCACACGATGGGGAATCGGAGGTTCCGGCAGTTCCCGACGAGCGATGACCAGGAGGACGAGCCGCAGCACACGATGGGGAATCGGAGGTTCCGGCAGTTCCCGACGAGCGATGACGAGGAGGACGAGCCGCATCCTCGGAAGCGAGTCACTCGCCCCTCGAAGAATCCCGCGGAGAGCGAGGCCAAGTCCAGGAGCAAGCGCCGGAAGCCGGTGAAGCTCGTGGATGACGACAAGGATGAGGACGGATACGGAGGTGAACCTGAGGCTGATCAGGAGGGCGGGCGAGAGGAGAAGAGTGCAAAGAGTGCGAAGAGGAAGAGGGAGAAGGAAGAGGAAGAGGAGGAGGAGGAGGAGGAGGAGCACGCTGATGAGGATGTTAAGGTTGTGGGCCTTCCGTACAAGTCTTCTGGCAAGGGGAGCCGGCGGAGGAGGCATTACCTGGCATTCGAATACCATGGAGATTACTACAAGCTGGTGCGTACTTGCTTTTTTTTTTTTTTTTTTCGATTTACCCTTGGCGATTCTGCTTTGGATGGGATCGTTTCTTTGAATTTTTTAGTAACAACGGGTGATGTTATTCTGCCTAAATAGTAAACATAGGTAATAAATAAGAGAACACTAAAGCTGTTCTTATTTTTCGTTTCAGGTTAATTTTTGTAGACCTTACCTTTTTCTTTGTTTTTTGTAGAAATTTTATAAAGCTCTGATACCATGTTAAGTTTTTTAAAACTGTTCGGAAGTATCGTATGATATCGATGATAGTTTATAATTTTTGTAATGTGTGTAAATATACGTATGTATGATATAATTGGTAGAGGATAGATAATGAACCAAGAAGGATAGTTAAAGGATATAGATAGTGGGATAATGGAAAATAGTTTCGTTAGTTGGACGTAATAGTGGTACAAATATAATTGATGGAGGAGTATGGGCGGAGGAGCCGAGTATGTGTGATTTATAAGCTCATCTCCCCACACCTTCTTACATGAATGATACAAGCCTATTTATAGGCCATCTTAGCCGACTCTAGAGGTCATATTCTTGTCCTCCAAGTGTACTTCTTTCCTAAGCACGTGTAGACTAGTTTGTTCTAGGATTTTCCAAGTTCTTGACTTTGTCCACCGACTTGGACTTCTGCTACTTGCTTTTTCTTGCTACTCACATCCATCTAGAGAGTCTAGATTGGACTAAAAATTTTTTTTTGTCAAAAATGAATCACAATTTCCAACAGTTTTAGTGGAAAAGATTGCTTCACTACGATTTCTTGATGTCTCCTATATTGGCAAATTGCGTTCCTTTGGTCTATATGATCACTTAGGCTCTGTAATTCGCTGAAAGATATACGTTTTGCTTTCATTAATTTAGTAAAATATTGTTCTCATGTTTTTTGTTTCCACTTCAGAATAACTAGTAGCATTTGTTTACTTGTTTGTGGCTATCATTCAGGAGGATACTATACTTGTCGACCCCGCTGAAACAGATCATAAACCATATGTGGCTATTATCAAGGTAACTATTTGGTGCCTCCGTTTTTATTCAATGCCTCCTTATCTCACTGTGTGGGCTCAGAAATCGAGTTATGTGAAAAGTATTAGAGATCATGCTAATCCAATTTAAATTTTCACCACTTTCCTTCTGAATGGACATCATCATGAGTTAGCATTGGAAGTTCTAATGAGCGATACCTTGTTGAACAATAATATAGAATCTTGAACAATGCCAAACATATTTCTCTTCTACGTATTAGAAAACTTTGTTTCTACTCTTGGTTTCTATTATGTTTTGTCATATTCAGCTAGGCACTTTTGATTTTATAGGATATTGCACGAACCAAAAATGAAAACGTGATGGTTATTGTGCAATGGTTCTACCGACCTGAAGAGGCAGAGATAAAGGGAGGTGGTAGTTGGCAGTCTCATGACAATAGAGAACTCTTTTATAGTTTCCATCAAGACGAGGTTCCCGTGGAATCTGTGATGCACATGTGTAGGGTACACTTTGTTCCAATTCACAAGCAACTCCCTAATCGAAAACAAAGTCTTGATTTCATAGTGCAAAAGGTTTATGACACCTTTGAAAAGAAGTTATGGGAGTTGACTGACAAGGATTATGAAGACAACAAACAACATGAGATGGATAGTCTCGTTCAGAAAGCCTTTCAATGCCTGGGAGATCTCCCAGATATCGATACAGAGGATGCTCATGCCAATTAGGAAGATCAAGTGAATCGTGTGTTCAACATATCATGCAACATTGACATTTCATTACTTTGCCATGGACGGTTGACAAAGTGGCTTGTTTGAGGTTATTCCAAAAGCACGGTGAACAAATTGGAAGTGTTACAAGCTCATTCGCCCGATTGAAAATAGCATCAGAATGAATCCCCAATAAGGTAGTTCATCCTAAGCTCCTGTTAACAAATTCAAGTCAAGGTAGCAGGTAATGGTTTTTGCTAGATGCCCATAAATTCTGGATCTGCTCATCTAATCAAGAACAATGTACTTGAACACATCTTATATGGTGTTTTAGGATGCTGCCACGAACCTCTGTTCTAAGGTTTCGTACATAACATACAACTACGAGATTTGTTGATAAAGATCTGAACTTTTAGTTCCATCTTTATAAGGTGAATTTTGTGCTTCCAGTATCTATGGTTCCTATGGCATTTCATCCTTTGACCTTAGCTTGGTTAATAATAACATTTCTTAATTGCTGCAACCATATGGATTAAATGTTGGCCCATCAGAGAGGGGCACAATACTTAAGGGTTTGGACTTGGGTGCTCAAGGCATGCGAGTAGGAAGCCAGGTACTATATCACGTCTTTGTCAACTTTCACTGACTCAGAAAATTGCCTTTCTATTATTTCAAAATGCACATATTCTTTTATCTGCTATGGGAAACAATTCTTGAGCTGCTCTGTCTACTGTTCCTTATAAGTAACCAACTAAGGAGGTACTGCCTAAGCAAGTGGTTCCTATATTAACTGGCGGAAGAGCTGCTACATCGCTTTTGCCTAAGAATATTAGTGAAGTGCGATAGCAAGCATGAGAGTATATGAAATGATATGCAGATCTTATGGAGTAAATAGCAGTAGCTAGATTTACTTTTGCTTGCATCCAATTTGAATCCCAGCTGTTCTTCTTGAACTCAGAGGCTACTAATAGTTCCGCCCCGAGCTAGCCTATGGAAGCAAAGGGGTTGAGGAGATCCCGCCAAATGCAACAATAGAGCTAGAATTTCCGCAAAGAAGATCATTCATTGATTGCACCAGCTCGGTCATCAATAATACCCCCTTCGGAAGGAAATCCTGCCTTTGTTTGGTACCCACCGGATTTATTCATTGTTTACCAACTTCAGCCGTTGATTCCAATGCCCATTGCCTACACACCATCATAATTGCCCGTGGAAATGCCCCCGTCTAAGGTCTTTTGGCTCACATCAGAATCGAATTACTTCATATGGGAAAGTTTCGTTGTTTCAAGGTATCGAGGCCATCTTTAAATGGAAAGTCTCACATTCATCTGAGTACGACTCCAAAGACGAACCGAACTATGATTGAAAGAAAATGTCACTGCATAGTGCAATTTGGGTTGGGAATGGCTAGAAAGTTTCATGTCATGCCAACGCTACTATTGACTTGTTTTGTTCAAGGGCAACATTGCAAGAAGCAACTTTCCTCACTACACGGCACAAATCCATCAAACTACTGTGTTACTCGAACTTGAATCCCGACTTTTGATTCTTATCGAGGGGTCACTCTTAAGTCTAGTTAACCCTTTTAGTATCAAATCAAGTCAAATTCGAAAGTACCCGAGTGACTTGAACTCTATGATACTTAATTTGTTTGACTTGCTGGCCTGAGTAGCTAACTCATTTACGCACATATGCTAAAACACATGAAACGTCATGTTATTTGTCAATTTTGATCACTGCGTGAATTTGATGTCGACTTCAAAATTCCAATTTAAGCCCGACAATGATAATGCTTGTACTCTCTTTTATCCGTAATTATCAAGTGGGGTTGGATTTGAGCATATCAACTACCTCATCAAATTCAGTCAAAATGTTGTGCCTTAATTTTTCCGGACAAATCAATTCTGGAAATTGAAGCACAGCTCAACTTATCTTATCTTAATCGTACTCCGATACAATCAAACCTTCCAAGTGAGTGGATTTAATTCTCATTTTATGTCTACTTGTCCAAAGTCAAAGTAGATAATTGTTAAAAAGATTTTATGGATATTAAAAGATCTACTGGTCAAAACAAAACAAAAAATTGTGATCGAAAGACAATGAGGCAAACTCTGTAATAAGTTTAGTGGTTTTTCACAAAGAAAATAATTTTCTTAATCAATAAGTCTATTCCAGTGGTCACTGATCACTAGGTTTTTATGAAAACGTGTCTTTGGAAAAAAAGAATGCAAAATCTTTCAGAAATTTATATTATATATGATTGACTCCGATGCATGATGAACAAACATTTTGCTCTCATTCTAATAGGAGTTACATGGCTTATATCCTCTACTTCATGATCGTTTGTAGATCCGCAAGCTCCTATGCCGAATTAATCAAATCGTGCAAGTTAGATGAATTACAATGGTTGGTGTTATTTTTATGCCAAATGAATTATGATGTCTTTTCTTTTTTTTATCTACAAAGCCCGGGACCTTTCCATTTTAGTGTTGAGCAATATATATATTTCAAAAGATAAATCGAATTGATTTTATTATTTGCCAAAACCCCATATAATAAGAAAAATATATGGACGACAAAAGTGACAAGTTATAAAGTATGTGTCAATGAACATGTATTCTTGCGTCACTTCTTGGTCTGTTGCCTCTCATCTCCTACAAAATTGCTTGCGACCATGACCTGCTCGCGGGAAGTGGCCACTACAAAATGCCGAGATTTCCAAATCGGTGAAGCGGATCGAAGAACTCAAGCATCGAACAAGAGGCTGAGGCGCGAGCTGGTGGCATATGGAGCTTCAAAATTGCTTGTGACTAGTGGCTAGAACATTATGTAATTACTTAAGATTCAAGAAACTGGGTTTGTGCTCTTGAGGACCTGTACGGAGGAGTAAGAACAGGTTCATAGCATGTCGTTTTCGCAATGACAATCAATATTTTTTGAATTCAGAGATTAATGCGGCGTGCATTTAGAATAGGGATGTTTGGTTTCCGGTTCGGTCCGGTTCCAAGGTGGAAGCAGGAACTAGACTAGGAGAATTGATTCCTAAAATTAGGAACCGGGCACCAGTCTGGTTGGTCCTAGAACCGGGAACCAGACCGGACCACCGGTCTTGTCCAATGGAGCCGATCACACTTTTTTTCCCACTACTTGATGCCATCTTTTCGTGTTGAATTAAGTTATATATATGCAATGATCCTCAAATTGAAAAAAACGGATAAAAAAATGTGCTTCACTTACGATTTAGTTCACATTTTACTAGTTTTTTGAAGAAATAAAAAAATTAAAAAAGTATAGGTAGTCGATCCGGTTCGGCCGGCCTGTTCGGTTCGGTCCGATTCCCTTTGGAACCGGGAATCGGATTGTCCGAACACCGGTTCCACTTTTAAGAACCGTGAACCGGACTGACATTCTCGGGAAACAGACCAAACTGGCCGGTTTGGTCTGGTCCGGTCCGGTCCCAGTTTGGGCAGTCCGTTTTGCACACTCCTAATCTAGAGCATTATATTTTGAATTCTTATATAACAAATGGCAGTGTTAGTTCTTTGAGCAAGTAATGAGATAGGGGACTGTCCCTCACATGTCATAGAATTTGTAAGATGAAGTCGCAGTGGCTTGTGAACCGAACGTCAGTCAAGCAAGGATGTTGGGAAACTTGGATTGTCCATATTAATATCGCTGAGAGATAGGACTAGTGCGTATACCACTCATATATCCGTCAGGAATCGAAAGAAGCATAAAGTGTTTTAGGAGACAGATTCGGCTGATACATTTGTCATTGATCTTTTGTTGATCTAATGGGGTTTGCTGATTGGTAGGACCAGACTTGGTAGGCCGGCCGGTAGCAGTAGGTTTGAGTTTGAGCATGAAGTTGCCAAGGACGTCTTTCAGACGAGGTTCACGCCCTGCTGGCAGATCTTGTACGTGAAGACTTCTCTAGTACTAGTTCTTTGCCTGCTCCAAACTTGGATGAACCTGACTTCAAGAACTCTGCGACTGTATATTTAAGATTATGGTCGACGCCGATGATCCAAAACAAGCACGCGATAAGTACAGCAATAGAAGACACGGGGAAAAAGATCATCGCCCATGCAGTTCTCCTGGATGAGTTTGTTCAGGACAGCCTCTGCGTCTCCATCCTTTATCAAGCTCTGAGATTCTCGAAGAGTTCTGGAAGATGAACGCTGGTGAGCTTCGTCCTCTTGGATTTAGGCCGCAAGCCTTCTCTGCATGGTGTTCGTCAATGGTTTCATCCCCCATTCTTCTGGAGATCCTTCTCGATGTCGATCATGTCCCGAGGTAATTCAATACTCCGAAAGAGTTGCTTCAGATCGTCATCTACTTTTATGGGCACTTTCGGATCATTCGGGTCGGCAATATCCTCCTGAGAGTCGAAGTTCGATAGGAGCCATACTTGACCAGCAGTTTTCAAGGCCTGTATATATTTGTATATTTGTCTAAGAAATCAAGACGCATAACAAAGAACTCCATGTGTCGTTCCCCAGGCCACAAAAATACGAAAATCTTATACTTTAACCCTCATTCTCTACTAAACCCTTAACCAGTGACCATCCCAATCACAATTTATATAGAAACTAAAATTAAAAGATAATAGAGACCCAGCACATCGATTCAGATTATGATGAAAGTCTCTTCATGAAACCAATATTGCTGATAATGGTAGACATCAACTATTACCACAACGATAGGAAGTTTAGATAAAGCATGAAACATCTATTTCACCCTTTTGGTGATTGTGTTCTGATGTAGCATACGTGTGTTATTGGGTCCAATAGTCAACTAGAACAACTATCCAATCAGTTTCAGGTGGCAAAAATGACATGGCAGGAACTCCAAGCTTCATTCAGCAGTCATTTAATTTGTTACCCTGTAAATATGAAACGTAATAGGAAATGCCAAAAATGAATCGTAAACCCCAGCAACAATCAAGTAGCAACTATAACGACTACACGGTAATCTCAAGAACATATTTCAAGCCCCTTAAGAAAGCCATCATGCGCTAGCCTAGCTAGCTAACTTCAGCATGCGGCTGATATCTTAGTCGTTTAATTAAAATGAAGAAAAACAAAATCGAGTCATAATGAGGGAAGGAGAACGCAATCAGCAAGTCGATGTGCCTATAAGTCCTCGATCACAGTTGGGAATGCATCCTTAAGGTCAATGACAGCAACTTCCACCATGTGGCTTCTTATCAACTTCAGTAACTGATTCTTGTCCTTCACATCGTGCTTTGACTGGAGCAATTCCAAAACCAAAACCAAACTATCACCTCAAGAAAAGACGGTAGATATTTATACAACAGAGGAGCTTCCCAGGAAAGTGGAGTGTACCTTATAAGAAAACCACTGGCCATCGTAGTGTACTTTTGGGTTACTGGCCAAACTATCAAAGATAGCTTTTTTGGAAAGCATATCGACATAACATGCTTCATTTAACTGCTCTGGTGTAAGCGCCAGCCTTATCTGGAGACTTTCAATTCAATAAATGAAGGCCATTCAGATAATATCTTTTAGTTCTCTGATCTAAGCATGGAGTGATAATGTTTTGCCAAACTTGACATGGTGATTATGGAGGGAGATGGGATACAGCAAGGAAAGAAATGAAGGGGGCACACATAAAAAATTAACAAAAAACAGAATAGCAAATAGAGAATTAGAAGAGAGAGATTGATGCTGTTGATAGGTGCAAGGATTTCTGGTGCAACAAATGCAATCTCATTTGGAATGTCAAGACTCAAACATCTGTAAGTACGCGCAGCAGGTGGAAAAGCTGCTTGTCAATTATTCCATTATTAAACCGTGACAACTTTGGAAGACTTCCTCCATTCAATGAGATGGCACTCGAGAAAGGTGCTCAGTTTACCCGTGGCTGTTGTTTGACTCCGGAATTACTAAAGATTTTGCGCAAGTCCTCTATCATAAGGAAAAAATTCACTGCTCCAGAAAAATCATGAACCTTGCTGGAAAGCAACATTCATTAATCGATTAGTATGTAATATCACAACTTTTGAGGAAGATTCAACCCATTCTCCAATTCAACACTTGATGAACATTTGACTCCGACTATTGACGAATCCCATCATGCATACAGGAAGGAAAGCGAAGTATGACAAGTGACGGCAACATAAGTTCGAGCCTTGGCGGCGAGGGTGGTCGACGGAGGATTCGAGGTGTGGAGGGTGGCGGGGGGAAAGAGGGCGGAGATCCACACATGCAAATCCCATAGCAAGAAAAGTTGTTCCTTAACCCTTTCCTAACCTAGAACTAGAAAAGTGGCTATCTTGAGTAATTAGGAGTAGACTTGATTTTCTTTTTTGTAATGCAGAAATGATCTTATAATAGTTAAAACATAAGGCCTTTTTATTAGAGGAATTATAATTGTTATATCATTAATTTTCACATTTTTAATCATCTTAATAAATAACA